AAGGTCGAGAAGGGAGAGGGTTGACATGTCTTGGGGTTGTTAACCAATGTCATAAAACACTATGTGTACTACTGTTTAAGGAGAAACTATTTGTTCTGTAAACCTTCACATGAAGTACGACTAAAAAAATAAATAAAAAAGAATAAAAAATAAATATCACAGAACTACTAACCAGAAAAATTAAACAAAAAGACTGCATGTAAAAACTGATTAAATCCAATTAAGTTCTATAGTTAACAGTATTATACAAATACCATTTTCCTCTATTTGATAATGCACTACATTAGAGTATGACATTATTATTCAGGTAAGCTAGATGAAGGGTACCTGGGAACTCACTGTACTATTTTTTTTGCAACTTCTTGTAAATCTAAAACTATTTCAAAATGAAAAAGTTTAACATATTCCAAAAAAGACAATGTAGAACAGAAAAAAAAAAAAGCAAAACTATAATCATTAAACTCAGTAAGATATTTTTAAAAAGACACTGTATCAATAAAACAAGGACAGGGAAGCTGTAAAAAAAAAAAAGTAATAGAACATTTAGAGAATAAGAGCTCTTAGAAATTCAAAGCACAACAACAGAAATTTATAAAAAGTTACTAGAGGAGTTGAAAGAAAAAATTGGGAATATCCTCAAAAGAACAGACAAAAAAATAGAAAATAACAGATTATGGGAAAATTAGAAAAGAGACTTTACCAAAACCTAAATTTAAGTCCAAATACTGCCACTAGTCTAGTAACTGCATCAAAAAAAAATCAACAGTGGTCTGACAATTTAACAAGCCCATTCTAGGTCATTTTAATCTGGTTTTCTTCAAGTGAGTCATTATCTTTTTCATTTCTTGTTCTAAAATCTTCTGCCTTTTTTCCAAAATCAGACTTAGAATCTTCCATCTTTTAGCATTCTTGCATTTTCCTAAAATCGTCAAAGATTACAAATAATATCAATAATTTTAAGATTTTGCAGGCAGTTCCTTTCATAACCATGTTTCAATTGGCCCAAAAGAAAACTCATTTAACTAGATGTATTCTTTATTTCTATATTCATGTTGGTTTTTATGTCCTTCCCAGCAATGTCTGTTTCGCTGTTGCTATGACTTAGTGGTGGTCTGCTCTTCCTCTTTGACAAAGAAGCTCCAAAAAAAAAAAAAGAAAAAAAGGCAGAGAATATTTTTCCTTCATAGCCATGCATTACTGTTATACCTTCCTTGATCACCTTCTTACCTTAGATGTAATATAAGACATACTTTGGTTGGTTTTAGCATATTTTTAAAATCTAGGCTCATTTAAGCGTTTGTTTATTGACTTTTAAAATTATTTTTTATACTTTATTATGGCAATCTTAGCTATTTGCTTCATTTTTAAAATAACGTGTATATCCGAGCTTAAAGAGTTCACTGGGTAGTCACAATAAGGAGCATTTTCTGTCAGAGAAATATCAAAATGCAATTTATTGCATTACTTAACTCCCTAAGTCTTCCTTTTTGGCAGAAACCTGTGCTGTGCAATCATGCTGATCTTTTCTCTGATCAAGAATCAGAAGAACTCAGATTAGTGAAATAAGTTACAAAACACTATGTAGTCCTTAGAAATTATGACATAGAATACTATTTTATAACTTAGGGGATGTTCAGGATTGTTTTTTCTTTAAAAAAAAAAAGAATAAACTATAATAGTACATGTAGTAATATCCCAAAATTTAAGTGTATATGTGTGACTTTATATATATACACAGAAAAAAAGGTTATACACCGAAGTATTTAAAATATTTTTCTTTTGACAATAACATTTTTATTTTCTTCTATGTGCTTTTCTGTACTTACCAAGTTTTATGTAATACATATGTATTACTTTTGCAATAAAGACAGGCATTATTTTTAAAGGATAGGTGGAACCAGAGGACCAAGTGTTCTACAAAGTATAAAGCAAAAAGGTCTAGTTTAAGATTCTGCTTTTGTAACTGTATTACTATAATAAGCTTAGAAAAACATTTCTAGATCCCCAACCACAAAAAAAAGAATCAATACAAGATACCACCAATGTAACTATAAAAATAATTCATGACAGCCATCAAGATGACCATTCAAACATTCAGGAATTAAATGGGGAAATCACCACAAGAACTTCCTTATAGTTCGAGTGCAGGACATTATGAACTATTCAAATACATTAAAAATAAAATGATTTTAAAATGTATATTCCAAAAGTCCCTACAAAATGAACAATTGTAGGATGGGATAATGAAGACAGGAAAAAAAAAATCACTAGTCAAAATGTTTAAAATTGTGGTAAAATGTCCTAATAAAGTAAGCTATGTTACTTGTTAAGATGTAAAATCACAGCAAGAACAATTACCTTTATTTTGAAATACTGTCTGACAAAATCAATTTACACTAATCCAAAAACTTATCTGGCTTACTCTCTGCTTCAGTTTCAATATCCAGATCATCTATTCAGATTCTATGTTGTAAAAGAACAGAAAGTCATTTTAACCAATCAGAGCTTTATCATTTAAAAATATTCAGCCCTATAAAATACTACCATATGTAAGTGATTCAACTAATCTGTAATTCATCTAAAAATAAAAATATATGTAACTCCTTTAGGAAATTATTTCATTTCTTTATCTTGAATTTTATTTTCAAATACATAAAAAATTAATTCAAAATTAGTTTTTCCTTGAAATAAATTTTTTATGATATTAATAAAAAAACAAGAGCAAACATAACGCATTCTCAAATTACATGAAGATTGTACTAATGCTAAACAAAGTAAAGGACAAAGCATCAAACCCATGGAAACAATAAAAAAAAATTTCTATTTTAAATAACTTGCCATTAAACTGATAATCAGACATAATGATCTTTTACATCCAGAAATGCAAGATGAACATAATACCAGGAAGGCCAAACGTCTGTCTCTCAATCTCTCCCTTATAGTCATATATGTATATAATCATAACCCAGAGATAACAGGTAATAAACAAATACACACCTTCCTTTAGGATATGCCAAGGTAGAAACACAGAAACAAGAAAAAAATTTTGAAATCAGAGTATAAAGGGACTCTGCTCTTTCAAACAATGCAGCACTGAAAGCCAGGTCAGCATCCTTGGGCATTACTAGGAAACTTTAGCACATCTGATATTTCCATCATCTTCAAGATTCCTCTGAACAATCAGAAAATGTCCCAGACTCCCCTACCTCACCTGTTCACAGGCTTCCTTTAGCTTTTCTCCCTCTACTGTGTAATAATGCTGTTGCAGTTATTTAGGCTTTATATGTTCAGAGATACAACCCCATCTCTATATTAATTCAGTTCATTTTTTCACAGACACTGACTCAGCCGTGGGTTGTGCAGCACTGACGTTTCTAACCAAACAGCATCCTGTGAGCTGTGATCATCCCATTTCTCCATCTCTGGGCAGTGATTGGGTATTGTAATTGATAGACAGGTGGAAGAAAACTCAGGAGATGAGGGCTTAGAGACATGCTGCCAAATGCCATCTGTAAAGCTAATTCTAGCTCGGCCAGCTTGCCAGGTTTTAGAAAACTAGGATACAGCTAACTTTCTCTTTTTTCCTTCCAATATTTTATGGTGTACTCATTCTGGCAGTAAAGTTTCTCCTTAAAACCAAAGAGAAAATATTATTTGTACTTTAAGAATTCACTCAAGAACTGCTCTTTAGAGCAATCAAACTTTTCAATTTCTAAACTGCTGCTGGGACTATGGAGTGACTTAAAAGGGAAACTGGAAATCTGTCTTCATGCCGTCTTAGAAGAAACGAGCATGCGTACTTCCATGTGGGAGTGAAACCTTGCGGCAAAGTCTGATACTGAATGTGTATGATGCATTTATCTTTAGTAACCTGAGCAGACTGCAGATCTGAGTTTTATATAGTCGTGTACAACCTAATTCAAATATTCCAGAGCTTTTAGCATACTGTTAATTTAGGTATCTTAATATAAGTAATACAGAAAAGATGTACTTTCTTTCTTTTTTAAATAGCAAAAACTCCTCTAACTCATAACTTAAAGAAAGTTGTCACAATTTAGGCTAACTACATCTGAACTGAAATCTCTAAAAATTTCAGCAAGCTACCAGACCTCTTTACAGAAGTATTAACTATACAACAATTCATGGTTCAGTAATTTTTTTAACAATCTAATTCATTTTTATGCATCTTCAAAGGGATCAGAGATACCCTGAGGTCCACCCAATTCCAGATTAGCTTTCCTAACTATATTGTCTTTTATATCAGAAAATGTTATACGTATCGTATCTATGTACAAAATAAGGTTTAGAAAAGAAAGTAACTTCAAGTTGCATTAGATAGAATAGAAACCATAAGGCAATGCCCACCAAGCCCTCAAAATATCAATGGTAAGGACACAAAAAATAGTTACTATTATTGTTACTTATATAAATCAAGAATGTAATTTTTATCCCTGTCAACAAGGAAAGGAGAAAAAAATATACTGAAAGTAAAAGGCAGAAAGAAAGCAGGTTATTCCAAAATGTGGATAGAAAAACAAATTTAAACAAGACAGCTTTTAGGTTATCTTCAAAAGCTAAACCAAATTTAAACTCCTAATTTTGTTTGTGGTAGCAATGTGTGCCCGATTTAAAAATTATTATTTCTCAGCCTCTCTGACACCCAGATATAGTTCTAGCCAATGAGTTATGAGCAGATACCTGCTGGGAATTTTTGAGAAATTTCATTTCCTGATATAAATGAGGCCCCTTTCCTCCTCCTTCTTGTCTGGAAGTTGGACATGACGGCTAGAGCTACACTAGCCATTTTGTGATCATGAAGGAAAAGTCAAGAGAATCAGAGATTTTTGATCCTGACATCCTTAAGCCACTAAATATACATCAGTCATTGCCTATCTCTAGACTTCTTATGTATAAGAAAAGTAAACTCCTAACTTAAGCCAGTATTTAGTCTAGTTTTCTTTTATTCAAACATCCTTAACTAAAATACACAAGACAAAAAAAAAAAAAAAAGGATGAAAGTAGGCAGATCATAGATAAAACAAAATTGGCCATGATCTGGTAACTTAAAGCTGGAGGTTCATTATACTGTTCTATTTTGCATTTGTTTGAAATGTACCATAATAAGTTATTTAAAATTATTTTAAAAATAAAAACAATGAGGAACTTGTTTTTTAAATCCCAGCTCTGCCATTTACAAGCTAGACGGCCTTGGGCAAGTTTATTAGCTTCATTTTTTCATTTCTCAAATGGGGATAGTAATACTATCCATAGAGCTCCACCTTCAGACGCCAGTCAAATTAATCTCCTGAAAATCTCTGTCAGGAATGTCCTCCCTCTACTAATCCTGTAATCACCCAAGAATAAGTTCAAGTCCCATTTTCACCTACTCAAGCTGATACTGATTCCTCCTCTGAATTCTTACTATAACTCAATACTGTAGGTTAGTGCTCTATTTCTTCTAATTATTCCATATATGGATATTAAAGCAGCTCATGATTGTCCCGACACACCTGACTCTCCCCTAAACTAAGAGGAAGTTTTCAAAAATACTTGCTAATTGTTTAGTTTTTAAGAGCTCTCAGCCAGTTAATCGACTATCTTAACTGAAAAGAAACCATATTAAAAAAGTCAAGTTGAACATTTTTTAAAAGTATTCAAAGTTATGTGTTTCAAAGAACATATGGACAAGAGGTCCCTAAAGTAAGCCATTCTTCCTTGGGCTGATTTTCCACTAATAAGGCTAAAAATAACCTCATTCAAAAGACGTCATGGTTCAAGGATGCCCTTTATCACCACTTTTATTCAACAATGTGTTGGAAGTCCCAGCTAGAACAAAAAGACAAGAAAAAGAAATAAAGTGCATCCAAATTGGTAAGGAAGAGGTAAAATTATCCTTATTTACAGATGATATGATTTATACACAGAAAACCCCAAAGAATCCACAAGAAAGCTACTGCAACTAATAGAAGATTTCAGCAAAGTAAGAGGATAAAAGATGAACATACAAAACTCAGATGGAGGAGGTGGGCCAAGATGGCAGAGTAGTCAGACACTTCAGGTAGTCCTTCTTACAACAGAGACCCTAAAAAACAAGTGAATCAATTATATACAACAATCTAGGAGCCCTGAACATCAAATGCAAAGTTGAGGAACTGGACTGAGTGGTAGAGGGAGGAAGAGATGGTTCGGAAGCAGCGAGGAGTTGCCAGACCTGACCCAGAGGGAGCCGGAGCCCTTCAGCCCGAATCAGCTCGGGGGTGAGTGGTGAGGCAGGCAAGCAGCAGAGCTTGGGAGGCGTTTTCCACACCGGGAGAGACCCAGTCGCACAGAGTCTACTCGGCCATCCAGAACCAGTGAGAAGCAGCCCTTGACTGGAGAAAGATAAGTATTTGCGTCTGGCCTACCACACGGATAAAAAACACATCCCCTTAGGGAAAACCCTCTCTCCTGTTTACCTCCCTATTCCCTGCTCTGTGCTGGGTTCAGGACGGCAACAGGGACTGCTGAGTCCCCTGGGCCAGAAGCAGGATCTGTCACGTGCACTGAGCCATTCTCCAGGCCTTGGAGACTGAACAAATTAACAAACGGGGGAAGAAATAATCTACCAGCTCCCCTAAGCCAGGAGCTCAGAGCAGGCACAACTCCTTTGCCTATGCACAGGCATAAGGGATCCACAGACTTTGAGTGCCTTTCGCTCTGCAGAGACTTGTGTGGGCCCATTTCAACAGCACAGGCCCTTATTACCGCAGTACAACCAGGTATATACCTGAAATCTAGCTTCAACTGTTTCAACTGGTAGGTTTGTGACATTTGACACTGCTCTGCCCATTAACCAGGGTCTTCACCTACCCATATTGGGGGCCTGAGGACTGGTGGCTCCACCCACGCCACCTAGTCACCTGCGATAGAGGCCCAAGAATAAGAGGGGACTCCCAGTCCTTACAGCCAACAGCATTGGGTGCTCATAGTCCAGCTGCAAAACTCACCCACCTACGTGCTCTAGGAAACAGGGACACGCTTTCCTCCTGAATACTCAGAGGCAGCCGTCAACCCCTGACTTGCTTAGTGTCTGTTGCCTGCTATAGCTGGATGCCTGTGCCTACACCAATCATCCATGCCTGTCTAGGACTGTAGGTGAGAGCCTGCACAACACACTTGGTGGCCAACTACCTGGACACCTGAGCTAAACCCATACAGGAGGAATAGGCAGACTTCTGAGCTCACATACTTAGGGGCAGGACATTGGAGCTTCCGGGGCACTGGTGATGGACTCAGCTCACACGAGCAGCCTATCTGGGCATATCAAAACAAAACAAGCAGCTAGGACACAGTAAGCAAACATAAAATAAATAAATATAATAACTTATTGATAACTCAGAGACAATAATCAATACCAAATCACATAAAGAGCAGACCATGATGGCTTCAGCAAACTCCCAAAATAAAGAATCTAGAAATTTTCCAGAGGAAGAAACTTTCTTGGAATTACCAGACACAGAATAAAAAAGATTAAAATACAGAACTCTTCAAGACATCATGAAGGAAATTATGCAAAGTGCAGAACACGCAATACAGGAACTTAAAAAGATTAGAGAAGAGCATAATGACAAATTTAATAGGCTGCAAGAATCCATAGAGAGGCAGCAATCAGAAATCCAGAAGATCAAGAATAAAATTGCAGAATTAGACAACGCAACAGAAACTCATAGGAGCAGATTTGAGGCAATGGAAGTCAGAATTAGAGAGATTGAAGATAAAGCACTTGATACCAACTTATTTGACGAAAAATCAGATAAAAGGATTTAAAAAAAATGACGGAACCCTAAGAATTATGTGGGACTCTATCAAGAGGAATAACCCACGAGTGACTGGAGTACCAGAACGGGGGGGATAACAGAAAATACAGAGAGAATTGTTGAAGATTTGTTGGCAGAAAATTTCCGATACTGTGAAAGATGACAAGATATCTATCCAAGACGCTCATTGAACCCCACATAAGGTAGATTCTAAAAGAAAGTCACCAAGACATATTATAATCACACTTGCCAAAACCAAAGATAAAGGGAGAATTTTAAGAGTGGCTACGGATAAACGAAAAGTCATCTACAAAGGAGAGTCAATAACAAAAAGCTCGGACTACTCAGCAGAAACCATGCAGGCAAGAAGGCAATGGGATGACATATATAAAGCTTGAAGGAAAAAATGCCAGCCAAGAATTATATATCCAGCAAAACTGTCTCTCAAACATGACAGCAAAATTAGGGCATTTCCAGATAAACAGAAGTTTAGGGAATTTGCAAAAACCAAACCAATATTACAAGAAATACTAAAGGCAGTCCTCTGGTTAGAAAATCAATAACATCAGATAACAACCCAAGACTAGAACACAGGACACAGCAACCAGATATCAACCCAGATAGGGAAATCACAAAAATAAATCAAAGCTAAAACACTGAAAAGAAGGAAACAGAGATGTCAATATGTAAAAGATGACCACATTAAAACAAAATAAAGGGACTAAAAAATCTAGACATAGATTTTTTGTATTGAGAGGAAGTCAAGGTGATGTAAGGAAATAAAAGACTGATTTAAACTTAGAAACATAGGGTAAATATTCAGGTAACCACAAAGGAAACTAACAATCCTACACGTCAAAACAAAAAACAAGAAAAAATAAAGACTCAGCAAATACAAAATCAACAATGAAAAAGATGAAAAGAAAATACTTAAAGAAAAATGACTCAGCACAGAAAATTAAGTGGAACAAAGAAACTGTCAAGAAGACACCAAAAAAGACATGAAAATGACAGCACTAAACTCATACCTATCAATAATTATGGTGAATGTAAATGGACTAAATGCACCAGTAAAGAGACAGAGAGTGGCAGACTGGATAAAAAAGCATGATCCATTCATATGCTGCCTATAAGAGACAAACCTTAGACTTAAAGACACAAATAAACTGAAACTTACAGGATGGAAAAAAATATATCAAGCAAACAACACTCAAAAAAGAGCAGGAGTGGCAATATAAATCTCTGACAAAATAGACTTTAAAGTAAAATCTACCACAAAGGATAAGGAAGGACACCATATAATGATTAAAGGGTCTACACACCAGGAGGACATAACTATAATAAATATTTATGCACTCAACGACAGGGCTCCAAAATACACAAAACAAACTCTAACAGCATTAAAAAGAGAGAGAGAGAGCTCCACAACAGTAGTACAAGACTTCGACACACCACTTTTGGTGAAGGACAGAACAGCTAGAAAGAAGCTCAACAAAGATATGGAAGATCTAAACGCTCAATCAACCAACTTGATCTCATAGACATATACCGAACACTCCACCCAACAGCAGCCAAATATAGTTTTCCAACGTACATGGAACAGTCTCCAAAACAGACCACATATTAGGCCATAAAGCAAGCCTTAATAAAATCCAAACCATTGAAATACTACAAAGCATCTTTCTGACCATAAAGTCATAAAGTAGAAGTCAACAACAGAAAAAGCAAGGAAAAAGAAAACACATGGAAACTGAACAACACCTTGCTCAAAAACTACTGGGTTATAGAAGAAATTAAGGATGGCATAAAGAAATTCATCGAATCAAATGAGAATGAAAACACATTCTACCAGAACCTTTGAGACACAGCAAAAGCAGTGCTCAGAGGTCAACTGATAGCAATAAATGCACACATCCAAAAAGAAGAAAGGGCCAAAATCAAAACATTAACCCTACAACTGGAACAAGTAGAAAGAGAGCAGCAAAAGAAGCCCTCGGGTACCAGAAGAAAGGAAATAATAAGAATTAGAGCAAAATTAAATGAAATAGAGAACAAAAAAACAACTGAAAGAGTTAACAAGACCAAAAGCTGGTTCTTTGAAAAGATCAACAAAATTGATACACTACTGGCCAAACTGAGAAAAGAGAAACAGCAGAGGAAGCAAATAACCAGTATAAGAAAAGAGATGGGTGATATGACAACAGACCCAACTGAAATTAAA